AAAAAAAAAAAAAAAAAAATCCAACGGATATTCTAATGGTATAGCTTCCGTTGGAATGGTTCCAACGGAAATTCCAAAGGAAATATTCCGTCGGAATGTGTTTTTCATTGGAATTTCAGATGGAATTTGGTGATTCCAACGGTTATATTTCCAACGGCTTTTTACCGTAGGAATTTCCGTTGAAATATGCAATTTTCATTGGAATTTTTATTTCCACCCCTGTTGGAAAATCCACCGTGGGAATCGTCAAAATCTAACGGAAATTCCAATGGAAAACTCATTCCAACAGAATATTTCTGTTGGAATTTCTGTTGGAATCCATTGAAAAATTCCAACGGAAATAAAATAGTATTGAAATAGCCGTTAGAATTACTGTTGGAATCATTCTATTATAATAAATTTCCGTTGGAATTTCATCATTTTCTTGTAGTGATAGTGAGTATTACTTGTCTAGTTCGGAATAGCTTTTGTCTTTTTCCAATATGGGTATGAGGGAAAAGGGTCTTGTGATCAATTAATCAATAAATTAGTCAACTAATAAAGCAGTCACCTAAATCTTATTCTGGAGATCACGGATAAAATTGACCAACTGTATACAAATTTCATCGGGTCACAAGTCATTTATGAATATAATTTAAATAAACGAGCCTAAAATCGAGCGCAAGCTCGGTTCATTTACCACCACCAATCTCGAACTTTAACAAGCCTAACTATAGAAATTATATAATTATTTTTTTTTAAGCCTTAGCGAGCCTTATCGAGCTGAGCTGTTAACCAAACGAGCTCATTTATAGAGCTCGAGCTTGACTCGTTCATCAAATAAGTCGAGTCAAACTCGAGTCGAGCCAGACTCGTTTAATTTAACAACACTAGTTTCTACTATACAAATTAAATAAGTGTCATCAATGTAAACAGAGACAAGGACACAATATATAGTATTGTTTGCCGGTTAATTTGTTCTTTTCATAGGGAATGTAATTTTGTCAAAGAAAAGAGAGACTATTGCACAATCTAGCAAACCACACACATGATTTGGTACTTTCAATATTTTGAAATTTGACACAAAAAATCCAGTCAAAAGGGAAAAGGGCAAAATAAAATCAATTAAATAGAGAGAGCCTAAGTTATAAAGTCAAGTAAGCCTACCCGGCTCGATTCTGGATTAGTCGTTTCCCTGTGGATTCGGAAACCGGAATGTCCCTGTACCAAAAAAAAAGTAAGCTACTTTTATTCACAAGCTTTTATGTACAAGTTCAATTTTTCTAAAGCAAATATTTTAATATGGGTAAAAATTCAGTTTTGGTCCGGTTACTTGTCTAAAGTTCTTTTTTGGTATACTATTTTTCCATTCATCAATAATAGTACGTTATGTTGTAATTTGTAGAGCTACTGGGACATTATCGCAAAAATAGTTCATTATTTTTTAGGATTAATGTCTTAAATATGATACAAATTGCAACATAACTTACTGTTTTTTATGAGTAATACCTCAAAAAAATACAAATTGCAACATAACGTATTATTATGTCAACATTGCAATTTTAGTCCTGTTGGCTTGATCCAGTGGCGTTTTTAGTCCTAAGAATTGAACATTTTTTGTATTTCGTCCTATGATTTTAAAATCCAATGCATTTTCAGTCCTTTGGGACTAAAAATGATATAAAATTTAAAATTACAGGACTTAAATTGCTAATAAAAAATTTTTTAGATGGATTTTTTATTATCAATTTAAGTCCTGTAATTTTATGCTTTGTAGCAAAATACTAAAAATTACAGGACCAAAAGAAAAAAAAAAAAA